AAAGTTTGAGAAGTTGATATTGCTGGTAACTTGGCTTTATAACTCTGTTTGGCTCAAAAGTGTAGCTTTTTCGTCAATAGCTTCAAAATTCAATCAAGTAGTTTGTCGAAAAATACACATGTTTGAGCCTACTTCCTCATATTCAAAACATAAAAAATCTTCGTCGATCAATGAGATAATGTTTATTTTTGGCGGTTTTTTGTGAATACTGACGACCAAAATGTATTTTTTTAATATGAGTGATGCAGAATTTCAGAGTCTACAAGATGTTGTTCTTTCAAAGGATTGGCTATCTTTGATAACAAATGAGGAAGTTGCGGTATCTTCTTACAGAATGAGAGGCGCCAAAAGGCTGATAAAGAGGCTTATTTTCTACGACAGTTAAGCGTCGCCCCAAAATTTGGTATGGCGTCTGAAATATTAAGATTAATTTATTTATTCTGGTTTTTAATGTTTTGTTTGAATCGTGCAGCAAAACTATTATGACTACTAGAAGTTACACTTTATTCTATGTTAAGCGCTGCGTAACTCAGCATTTTATGGCTTTCAGTCAAAGGCGGCAGAGCGTCATGAAACTAGGTGAGGCTTATAGTATTTTTTCTCCTATCCAGCGTACTTTTGTGAAACACGATTGCTAATGAGTGTTGAAGCATATAGCGAGAAAAGTAAAGCATCCCCTGGCCTGCTCCACAAACCATGAGAAACATGTCGGCGGACTATTCTACGTGTTTAGATCTCGGCATACTTCAAGGTAGAGAATCGGGGATTGTTTTAGTTGAAGGAATTAATGTTTACCCCTTTGGATGAGGAGAAAGAAGTTTTTTGCTCTTACTTTTTGAAAATTTGGGGAGCGTTAAAACTTCCAAAACCTTGAAAAATACCATCAGAAGTTTTTCAAACAGATGAGGTTTTCTACAGAACTAGAATCTAATTAAAAAATTCCTTCCCCTCATCCGTCCCCAATAAATAAAGAAAAACCACAGCTCGTTATAATGAACTACATTTTAAATAAATTTGTACGGAGTTTGATCATTAGCACTAAAATCAGTTTTAAGAAAAAGTACTATCTAGGCATGCAACAGTCCAATCCGACTGGGAATTGGTACCAGTTGGGCTTGTTACCAATCCCTCCAATCTCCAGTCAAGACTGATACCAGTCAAGCTTGTTATCAGTTAGGCTTGGATTTCAAAAGAATATACGAAATGCGAGACTTAGTTTTATATAGCTTTATATGTATATATTATCATAAGCCATTATTCATAACGTTTAAACTTAATATTGGGATTTCTTATAATCACATTCAACCGTCTTTTAAGACCTGAAAGTGGCATAAAAGTTCAACTGTTCAAATTCGACTGTAAAATGATGAGTCATCAGGTTAACGACATCAACTATAAGGCAAGACATTTTTCATAGGAGGCAGTGAAAATGGAGCTGGTCTGTTAATTAAATAATTTTGAAACTATGGCTAGTGGGCTAAAATAAGCCTTGCCAACGGCAAAATAAGAATAAACTTCAGAGAGAGTGATCGTTTTTGAGGTAAAAAAGAAGCACAAAAAGTAAATTATTCTAAGCATATAGTGTAATTACGGTTACATCTTAGGTTGTAGGGTGAAGCTTTTGCCTACTACTTTCGGTCAAGCCTAACTGGTAGACCAGTCCGACTGGTACCAAGCCTAATTAGTATCAATCTTCCAAGCCTAAGGAAGTTTCGTAAAACTCACTTTTCGCTAGATTTTGAAACCTTTTTCTAAAAACAAATATTGCCACGAGACTCAGCATGGTCGATTGCCCATAGTTCATGTGTCTTCATGGCTACCAATAGTTACCGCAGACCAGTCCTGAGACTCGTAGGAAATTCGAGACAAGGCCCGAACCGCGGAAACTCAAAGTCTTACTTGGCTCCATTCTCAAGACGACACCTCAGGCTATCAGTCCATGAAATAAAAACAATACAAACCTATCGGGAAATATTTACGCGCGACCTAGTTTTTCAAAGATCTTCTTGAAACCCCATTTCACAAAACTGTTCTTGAAAAGACTTTCGTTATGAAAACATGCTTCCAAGGTTTCTCTTTCGAATGACGAAAACCGGAGCTCTCTGGCTCTTTTCTATCAACAGTTATTGAAAAAGCAACCGGTGGGCTTGTTTTTTTCCATATACTGTGGAGAAGCTCTAGAAAACCTTTAACTCGCTGAACAACCATAATTATAGGGTGGAATCGTAACTATTCTGAAAGTAGACATTTAGGGCTATCTGTCCATATAATTATCTAAAAACCGATGTTTTGACCAAAAATCATGACGTCGGGAAGGGGGCATGGCCTTTATATGTTTACAGGAGTTATAGGGAGAGCAAAGATCACACTTAGGCTTTTAACACTTTCCATAGCATTTTGTCTGTCTAGACACATTTCAGGTCGCTCAAATTTGTCTTACGTTCTGTCGTGACTTTATTTTTATTGTTTTAGTCGTATAACAACAACGATGGTTCTTGCCGTAGCTGAGTCTGCTGACAATGTTAATCTGATCTGTTCTACCACCGACGACAATGAAAGCATTTTTGAAAGAAAAAATGTTTTATTTGAAATAAAGCAATTTGCAAAAGTAGCTCTTCCTTACGTAGTCAGCACAATTTTAGGTATTGTAAAACAGCATAAGCGTGGTAAAATTAGTTATTTACTATTTCTTTGTGAAAATCCTCCAAGACTAGAGGAGTTGAAGTATAAATTTAGAAAAGACATCGTTCGAACTGGAACTATCTCGATGAGAAACAGAAGACATAGGACTAGACAATTAGGCACAATTGTTCACAAAAGCTGAAATGAATCACCCGCTAATCTGATTTGAAGTTCAGTTGACTTCAGAAGTTCCTTCTTTTCCTCATCTCTACTCTCAACCATAGAGTGACGAAGATTCGTACGGAGAGAGAAAACACAAACTTTTTCGAAGTGTTTTTCAGGTATTTTACCGGAACTATTTTTTGTTTTCTTCTCCCTCTGCAACGCGTTTGTTTCGACCGTTTCAGTGTGCAGGTTGGAAATTACACCACAGAATACATCACTGTCCCAGTTACATTGGATGGAACTGAAACACGCTACCTCGGAGAGCAATATTGTTATTCACTCCCCTAATGTTCGGCCCCTATTTGCCGCTCTGCATATTATTGAATATTTCCTGATCTTTTTGATCATTCAAACGATCGCTGTGGGCATAATTGTTCACAAAAGCTGATATGAATCACCTGCTAAATCTGATTTGAAAAGGAATTTCGCACATCAACTTCATAACGGGCTGCACTATTGCTGTTTCGTGTATTCTCAGAAACATGGCTATTACCCATTGTATCATTGGGATTTATGAGTGATTTTGGTCAAAAGGAATTTGATGCTTGTTCACTAGCTGGCACAATTTATATTTTAATCGGTACATCAATTTATTTAAGTTTAAATTCTGCAGCCGATACATTCTTGCCACAAACTTTTGGTAAGCGTTTTATTGAATGGCAGAAGAACAGCGGTTAGTTTAAACTTTATTCTGTGAGAATACAAGCGGAAAAATATTCCATTATAGTATTCTAAACTAAAACTATCGAAAAACACAAAATCAATTTTGTATGAATAGAGATTCGAACATATGAACTTAGCTGTGCAGTAAGCAGTTTTAATTCATCGATATCTTTTATTCTTTTCATTTAGCCAGCAATAATAAACGTGCAATGGTAAATATAAATCTGTTTTGTACGGCAAAGACTAAGTCAATAATAAGTGGTACAAAAGAGATCATAGTGTTAGTATTGTCAATTTTCTCCACTTCCTGATAATTCATTGAGCAAGGCTTTTGCAACGACATACCGCGTTTAATTCTCTACAGGATATGTATTCACTGTATTCCGAAGGTGAAAATATGAGATGAGAAACCTTGTGAAGTACGAAAATGCGGGAAAAAAACGTTTAGCAAATAACACTTGAAAGGCGGTTGTTTAACGTATTTTTTCTGACTTTTCGTACTTCATAGATTTTCACATCTCATTTTCCACTGTCAGATTTTGTAATAAAATATTCAATACATTATTTGTAGAGAATTGAACTTGCTATATTTTGATAAAAGAATTTGCTCGATTAATTATAATGAAGAAAAGAAAAATTGAAATTACTAACATTATAATTCTTTTTGGCCTACCCATTACTATCAAATATCAGTTGTGTTTAACTGTTTTTCACGTCGTGTCTTATTTCTCGTTTGTCATTCATTAAAGGGTTTAGTTATTCAACGTACATTATTGATACTTATCTACGCTGTTTTTATTACATGGATATTGATGTTAAATGTTGGTCGAGGTTTTCTGAAATTTGTTGAAAAAGATCATCAAATTGTTCTATTAGCCGATAAATATTTAAAAACTTATATGTTAGTCGTACCTTTCGAATGCTTATCAATTGTTTTACAAAAATATATTTCAAATACCGGCGTTACATATCCATTGGTTATTATTACTCTCATTGGAAATTCTGTCAACGTTTTCTTACATTATTGGTAGGAAATGTTTTCTTTCAGAAGCACCTATGCCTATTTATTTGGAAGAGATTTCAGCTGTATATAAAAAGTTTCAGATATCGAACGCCTAACATTATCGAATTTTTTGGCCGTCTAGAACTTCCGGACAAACTCTTTTCTTTAAAACGATTCAAGTTATCAAACTAAAACTTTCGTGATTTATTTTGACGTAGCCATGAATAAAATTGCTCGTTTTTCAAAATTTTTCGAAGTACCTAGCTAGATAGGTCACTTGCTCCTAGCTGGCGAAAAAGCTTGCAAAAGTGCTGAAATAAAATATGTTCCGTACGATTTTTAAACTGAACATGTTAACGGAATATCTCATCGTATAATCAATGCGAGAATCAATGGTGCTCTTAAAAAATTGATTGTGGATAGGAGAAAATATTAATGGGGGCGTTGAGAATAAGGCTTTTGATTAGAAAATGAGTTGAAAAAAAATTTAGTAAAAAAGTGGAACATAAAAGTCTCTATAAAGTTGTCTCTCAGTTGGTGGACATGGAAAGGCTGAACTAATGAAAGTTACCCCGCTCTGTAAATGACGAGGCAGTAAGAATATTCGAACGCGTACTTCTCTTTGAGATTTTGATCTTCATCTCAATATAGTAGTGAAAAACGTGTATTGTGTGACAAATTTTCAATGCTATATGTTTCTTGTAGTCTGCTATATCAATTAAACCTTGGTATTCATACACCTGGTATTTCAATTGCCATTAGCTTTTTAACAATGTCAATACTAGCGATTGTTTATATTCGATTTTATTCTAATATTTATGAACTTACATGGTGTCCGATAACAAGAGAGTGTCTAACGGAATGGCGGAGTTATATACGTTTAAATATAGCTGGCCTATTCATGATAACGTTAGTTAGTTGGTCATTAGAATGTTCAATACTCTTGGCAGCTACAATCAGTGAACGATCATTAACAGCCCAAACAATTGCTTATCAAACAGAAACCCTGTTCTATTACATTTCATATGCTTTTGGATTAAGTGCAAATATACGTATAGGACAATATATGGGCGCAAATGAACCTTCAAAAGCTAAACAAGTTACAAATTTATTATACATTGTCATGATCCTGCCGTTATTAGTAAATATGATACTTATACTTTCGCTCTGTAATTGGATTCCATTGTTTTTTATATCAAAAACAGAAAAAGATTCAGCGGCGACGATATCATTTACAAAAAAATTGTTAATAGTTGTCGGTAAGTAAGTAGGCTTTCAAATTAACCGGGAGAATTTGTTTTCCCTGCCATTGTACAGTAAGAAAAGTCATAACATGACAAGATCTGTGAACTCTCTGTAATTGTGAATAAAAAAAAGCGCTTTCAGCGTAGACCTGACAAGATATGTACCGATCATCACCGATTGAAATTGTTCACGCGTCTTGCAAAAAGTTTTTTCAAATAAAAAACTGATTCTCTAAAATTTTTCCAACAACTGAGTTTTATAAAGTAAACATTTTTCTACAAGATGAATTTCAGGTATTAAGATTGAACTCTGGTATCAAGTACTTATAAAAAAAACGTTTCTTAAAAGTTCTATGATCGGTTTTAACCAATTAGGGCCCTTCAGCGAAAAGCGATTGCGACAGAAATAGAAAATATGAAAGCTTCTGTCATAACTCATTTATAGAGAAATGCTCACTCTAGAAAACTAGTTGTTGAAAAAATGTTAAGATGCGTACTTTTCACGCAATACGTAACAAAAAAAGGTGAAATCTGTCGGTCATAACTGCTGCATGACTAAACTTGACGTCTAACTGTAAAACTCCTCCCTTATACTATAGTTTAACGCACATTATGTATTTTTTGGACCCTAAAAGCTGTATTATGGCAACTTAGCACTTCTATAAACTTCCGCTTCTCTTTTTGTTCGGAATGATATAAAGATGGCGTTTTACAGAAGGAAGATTATCTTTTTCGAATTACGGTCTACGTCAGTATTCCGATTAGAAGGAGAACAAATTGCGTTCATTATTTTTGAAGCATATTTTATTCGCACCTGCTCATAAAACTGAAGAAGATCATACATTTTTATCCCTATTACACATATTTCAATTTAAAATTTTCAAAACATAAAAGAGTTTAAAGCTTTCGTTTGAAATGTTTGTGAAAACTCCTATCCTTTCGACCAAACTATATTTAGCCATCTTGATGTCATCTGACTTTTGTAAAGCAAAAATTTTCTGTATTAAATTTAGTAAAAGACCTACACGAGGACCGTTAAAAGTATCTTCGAAATTTTGAAGCAAACTTACGAGGGAACCTGCTCAGGTGTAACCCTCCTTTTCCAATGCAACCCACATGGATCGATTGCCTACTTAGGGATAGTAAAAAGCCTAAGAGGTTTTATTGAAAGCTCTTCCCTCGAAAATCCGAGCCGTTTTTCTGGAAAACCAGTTTTTCAGAAACCCTAAAAAAATAACCAAAACCTTTCTTAATGAGCCAAGATTGTAGCGCGTACATTTCTGATTAAAATGAGATATCTCCCAGTTCTACATGACCTTTCTTTGCAAAGTTATAGAATTCACAAGAAGAGCCTTAAATACTCATCGTCAACTCAATGCTACAGAAATAAGAAGAAATTAATTTAGGGCTTTCCTTGTAAATTCTATAACTTTGTAAAGAAAGGTCATGTAGAGCTGGGAGATGTCTCATTTTAAGCAGAAATGTACGCGCTATAATCATGGCTCATTAAGAAAGATTGGAATTTTCGAAGAAAGGGCTTTCTGAACAAAACCTTAGACTTTTTACTACTACTGGATAGGTAATCGATCCATGTGGGTTGCATTGGAAAAGGAAGGTTACACCTGAGAAGGTTCCCTCGCTCGCCATTGGATAAGTTTTAAACTTTATTTAATTTTTAACAATAATAACTAAATTTCGAAGAAAAATCTGTACAAAAATACTTAGACTACAACGATCATTCCCTATGCAAAATTTCGTTGATAGATTGCTGCTGTCTGTGTTAGTTTTAGCCAAATTCTCTGTACATTAGTTTCACAAGATGACCGATTGATTTGCGAATAGTTTGATACTTCTAATGTAATTGGAAAATCGGAGCAAATTTTCCTAAACAGCGTCTATGTTAAGGAGTCTATGTTAAACAGTGTCTATACTCTCGTGCTTCTTGACTTACGCGGCGTTTTTTCAGATCAAAGTGGACTGATTGTTTTACAATTTTCGTAGTTAGTTCAGGATTTTAGTTAAAATGAAAAAGCTTATGATAGAATTCCGAACAGAATGAAATATTCGTTTTCAAAAACGTTTTGATGTTCAGATGAAAAATAAAAGTATTGTGAAAAACTTCGAACTGACAATTCGGTACAGATTGCGAATATAGAATTGGTTTTTGTTACAACTATAAAGTCGAACAGAAAATCTATAAAGAAGTCGCAACTTCTTTTTGACATAAAGAAATGAATCAGGTTAGGGAGAAATGGTTGTAACAAATCTTAGGTAATGGGAAACGACGAAAAATCTCGCTAGATTTAACTTATAGTTTTCGGCCATATGACCGGCAAATAGGCGAAGAGAAGCTAAAGGTTTTGCGTTCCACATATCCATTGGGGGAAGAAAAAGAGTAATTTCGCATTTGCAGTTTCGATCTTTGAGGCTATCATAATGAACGAATGTCTAATGTTTTCGGATTTTGTATAGTTTACCGAGTCATCAGCACATAGAAAAACTATTTTGGAATGTTGATCTAAAAGCATTGATTTTTTCAGCTTTTAGTCAAATAATAGATGGTTATCAGGGACTGCAATTGGATGGAATGATAAAAGCCTGTGGTCAACAACCGAAGGGTGCGATTATTGCAACAATTGGATTCGTTCTGATCTGTATGCCAGTGGCAGTAGTGCTTATTTATGGTGCCAAAATTGATATTTATGGTTATTGGATTGGGCTGTTCTGTGCTGAATGTTTCACAAATTTATCACTTTTTATTATAATTCAACGTTTCGACTGGCAATCATATGCAACTCAAATTACTACTGCTGCTGTTCCGTCAACTGCATTGATCTCCTACGGAACAAACACCCGAGTAGAAATATCTGTAGATAAATCTCTATTTGAACTTATTAAATGGAAACTACTTTGTTTAAGTTTTTTTATTGTATTATTCATTATTAGCATAGTATTTTCAGCATTCTCTAGCATTTATTAATCAAAAATTGAAAACAATAATGTTGCTGAACTAGCTGATCCATAGATGCGATGATAAACCATCTAAAAATCGACTTAATACATATTTTATGCAGCTCAATCATATGTCCGTTTGAATCCTGATACTTTCGGAATAACGCGCATCTCAAAGTTGTTAGATTTACAAGGGGTTAAGGTCAAAACTATCATATTATTTAGTTTCGCGATGACGATGTCAAACGCCAGATATGTGATCTAAATGTGAAAACGATCTTTAGATAAAAGCGAATCAGATAAGGAGATGGCAAAAAGTATAGGGTTAAACTTGTCGAGATAGGTCTCTTCTTTTGTGCCTCAGATGCGCTAGCTTGTTCATAAGATTTCTCATCTTATTTCTCACGTTCACATTTTGCAATAAAACAGTCAATACATATTTTATAGACAATTGAACGCACTATATTTTGGTAAAAAGCTTTGCTCAATTAATTATCAGGAAGAGCAGAAAAATTGGAATTACTACCAATCTAAATGGAATCTAAAAACAGCAGTTAATTATATATAGGAATGCATCAAACCCGAATATTTGTGTTTGGTGCGTTTGGGCTTGTGTTAGTATTGTGTTTGATGGGTTTGTTTTTTGGTGAAGATTTGGGGTTCGAGGTTTGTAACTGCAAACAGTTTGGCTTCAGTTTGGTCACCAAATCCAATGAAAGTCTTATTATCGTTAGTAAAGTGCTAGACATATGCTCATAACAAATTTCTTCCGTTCGCCTTATTCTTATATAGTTGTCATAATAGAATGCGGTTTTGCTCACTCCTTTCGTCGAACTCCGTTCTTGCTCTTAAATCAATCAGAACGAAGAAGACAAAAAAGAGTACTCAATTCTTCCTTAGTTCCACTAGAGCTTTTACCTCATCGTAAAACACGCCAAAAAAGAGACTACATGTGTTCCAGCGATTTCTTGCTCTGAATTATTTTTCCGTAGCAAAACTATTTAAGAATCATCTTGAGTCATTCTATTTTGAAATGGATAGTAGTATTAGTATGGTTTTTCTACCCCTTATGGTTTTACAAGCTAGATTCATCATCATTGGTGTTCTGCCCGAGGGCAGGTTCTAGGCACCCATGTTCTCTATTTCTGTCTTTCCATAGCTCTTCGTTTGATGTCCGCATACGAGTCCTCGTTTATAATATCATCCAATAACATAGCACGCGGCCTGCCTCTTCCAC